TGGGGAAAATAGACATGAGTCAAATAATTGTGAGGTAGTCATACAATTTTAAAAAGGATATTTATTTTGTGTGTATGGGTATTTTGCCTACATGTGTATCTGTACCAATTGTGTGCTTAGTGTCCAGGGAGGTCGGAAGAGGGTGTTGGATCCTCTGGAACTACAGCTACAGACAGTTGTGAGAGACATGTGGGTTCTGGGAATCAAACCCAGTTCCTCTGCAATGGCAGTCAGTCCTCCTAACCACTGGGTTATCTCCAGCACAAGAGAAATGGAGAAGCCATTGGAAACTCTAAAAGGAAATAGCATATTTCTCTTTTCTATCTAGTTTTGTGTTTTCTGTCTGTGCTGTTCTGCTCCTTGATTTTTATTTGCACAAATACTACCCATTTTTAAGGTCTTCACTCATAAGGTAATTCTTTTGAAAAAGACCACCATCCTGGAGCCATATGGGAACTCCATAGCCTTCCAGTAACCATGAGATACGGAGTCCAGCGTCAACTGATAAAGTACCTATCTAGGTCTTCCTGGCATGTGAGGTCACAGCAGTCCTCAGTGGGACACTGTCAGCATATGCTGGGATGGGCACGGGGAGCATCAGCTGTACCTCCCTACTCCTCATAAGTCGGGTTGTCAACCCTCTTCCAGCCCAACTGTGTTTTGGTGGAACTGTAGTCTGAATATTCTGCCTTATCTTGTGAGCTCATGTTTTTCTCTTACTTTCCTATAAGCTCCTGGGGGCAGGAACTATGGCTGATTCATTTTTTTTTCATCCTTCCATGGCTTAGCAGAGGTGCTGTCACAGGGAATCTATTTACTCAATAAATGTTTACGGAATTGAATTGTGGGGGATACCATCGCTCCCCAGGGCACTATTAAACCAGGCCCATTCTTCTTGTTTAACACCATTCAAAAAATATTGTCAACACATTGTCATTGATTCAGAGAGCCTGTTTCCAGAATTTTATCTATTAAAATTAAGAAATTTGATCAGAGCAATAGATGTACATGGTGACAAGTCTCAGGGCATCGAAGCAGTTGCTGACTAGAAGCCACACCCTTCACCCCACCTGCAGACTTCTCTCTGGGGACGGCATCTTTTTAACCATTTCTTCGCTACCCAAAGTCTCAGTCATGTATTTACATCTATTTTTGTCTTTTACCTACTTCAGGGAATTTTGTTCAGGGAAAGAATTCTTGCTTCCTATGAAAGATGAAGATTTAGTTCAGGTGCATGGACCCTCTCCTCCTCTTCCCCGAACTTGGTGCCTTTTAAAGGTATCTTGGAACTTCCAGCAGCACAGCTCACACCCAGATCCCGCTCTCGTTTCTCATCTCATCATTGCTGTTTTCCTCAGTTTCGTAAGGTGAGGGTGTGAGTGTTTCCTTTCACTTTTCCTTCCGCCTCTGTTGGCCTCCTCTTCCTCACTTTACCGCGATGCTCTCACTTTCCTGTCACCCACGCAGCACCCACTTAGCGTTCTTCAAACACCGTCAAGTTGTTTTCGCCTGCACAGGGACACTAAAAGTTGAACACAAACCCAAGCTTCTGTGATTATGTAATGGCCATTCATTTGTAGAAGAAAGGTTGACCTGGGATTACGTTTCTTTTCTACAGCTCTAAGGTCACAACCCTCATATCAGAGGCGTCACAAGTCAGCGAATCTTTAGCTGGGCACAGTCTCACTCCTTTAACCCTAAGACTTGGGCGGCTGAGGCAGGAGAAGTACTGTGAATTCTAGGGTAACCTGGGCTACATTGTGAGTTATAGGTCAGCCTGGGCTACAGAGTGAGGCATTGTTTCCAGAAAACAACAACAACAGCAGCAACAACAACAACAACAACACACACACACACACACACACACACACACACACACACACACGGCTTAAATCACAGAATATTTTATTTGGTGCTGGCCCAGGCTCTCATGCATGCTAGCCATGTTCTTCACCAGGGAGCTGCTCCACAACCTTCTTTTGGTTTAACACCTGTTTAAAGCCTGGACTTTCTAATCGCTTTTCTACTTGCCCAATGCATAATACACCTCTATGCTACCTTCAGTCTTCCCAACCTCTGACGAAACCATTCTGGGAGTAATTCTCTGGTATCTTCTCTCTTACGAGAAGGACTGCGGAGATGGGAGTGGAAGAGGGTGGGGCACTTGAACTGCCAAGCTGAGCTGTAAGCTTCCTTCCTTCCTTTCTTCTTTCTTTCTTTCTTTCTTTCTTTCTTTCTTTCTTTCTTTCTTTCTTTCTTTCTTTCTTTCTTTCTTTCTTTCTTTCTTTCTTTCTGTCTCAATACCAGAACTTTGTAACCACTAGGCAACCATTTATCACACCCTTAGCCTTTTTCTCTAGTTTTGAAATTTCTTTTTTTAAATTATGTTTGTTAAGTGGGATTATGACCAGGAATTATCCTGGATTCTGAATACTCCACATGTCAGGCCAGATAATCTGTTTCTCTTTGGCTTGTCTCACATTGAAACTTGCTATTCTTGTGCTTTTGTTAAATGAGTATATGGTATGAGCATGGATGGTACCTCTCAGGCTGTACTGTGGGCTTGGTTGCCAGGTGACGGGCTTATAGGAAGTGATTGGATTTCCAGGGCCATGGCCTAATCGGATCACTCCATTGATGGATTGTAGTATGATGGCATTGTGAAGAGGTGGGGACAGGTGAGAGGTGGAACTTAGTGGGAGGATGTAGGTCACTGGAGAGAAGATGCTCCATGCCCTCTACACCTTCTTCATCCTCTGCTTCTTTCCTGCCATGACATGAGCAGCCTCTGACACCTCATACAATCATGATGCTCTGCCTCAGCTCAGGCCTGAAGGGATGGAGCAGCAGACAGACTGAAACCTTTGAAAACATGAACTCAGCTGAAGCTCCCCCATTCTAAGTGAGACCTTTAAAGTGCTTGTCGCAGTGATGGAAAACTAACACAATGGCATAAGAAGTCCAAATCATACCACAGGAAAAAATGGCCAAGGAGTATAATTCTGGGCCTTCTCTCAGAAAAAAAAAAAAACCACACACACACACACACACACACACACACACACACACACACACACACGAGTTACATTACAAAATTATTAAGCTTTTTAAGAGAAAATAAAAATGTCACAGGAGAAACCACCCCACGGGGAGTGTGAGAATGTTGCAAAGGACCCAGGAACCATGCTCTATGCCCTCTTGATGTTGCTTGGACTGGAGCATAGTCTGATATCAGACTGAGGACCAAGTCTTCTCAGTGCCTGTGTGTGGAGCGGGGAGCCTCAGGCAAGCTTGGATACCTTGTTAAACCATAGTTTCCATTCCTTCAAAGATGCACAATTTCTCTCCTGTCTAGGAAAAGGCTTCATGCAGAGAAAGAAAACACCCCAACTACAATCTTTATCTCAAATGGAGTAGGGACATCCCTGAGTCTCTAAGATTGAGTCCCCAATAGCAAAAAGCACAGCATCCTCACAGATCCATGTCAAATGCCACAGAAAACTCCAAATGACCTTCCTAATATTGTGTATCTGACCTTGAGAGGCCACTGAAATGAGGAAAAGGGGGTGCTCTTAGACTGTCCATGTGTAGTCCACATGCTCACTCCAAGTCATACTGAACGATGTCTCATTATCTGGAAAAAGGGTCTTTGTAGCAAAACCAAAACCAAAAGGCAATAAGGATGCTGGACATTAGAATAGGAAACATGAGTCCATTTTGAGCAAATCTTGTCTTTATTTTATCTTGTCTTTTATCTTGACACACAAAGATGTTGCTGCTTAAGCTCCAAGGTTCCTAACTCTGGACCCTTTGCAAAGTGTACAGAAGTATTTTGAAGACTGACATCTCTCTACCCTTTGGCTTGTCCTTATCTTCCCTTATATCACCTTAGTGTTGAATAGCACTGAAGAATGCACAGCCTGACTTTGTACCTGAGTAGAGTTGTGGACACCTTCCAGTTTGACTCTCCTGAGCGGTTTGCAGTCACTTCTGTGTACAGATAAATTATCACCAGGCATCTCATGAGGGAAATGATGACTTCCACATTGGCTTTTGTGATGTGATAATCCATACAGTGATGTGATGTAACAGGGTAGGGGATATGTCCTTCAGTATCCAGCACCAGAACATGGGAGTGGGCAAGATGGAGAGTTGAAAATGTGCTAACCCAAAGCTGGTTTTGGAAGTCTTCCAAGCACTGTTGCTCACATATTGATGGGATTTAACAGGGTTTCTGACTTACAAACATTTCAAACAGGCACTTGACATTACAAATAAATTATGAAGCTTTAATAAACAATCAAACTAAACCTGGTCCAGTGAAATGACTCAGTGGGTAGAAGCTTTTCTGCCAGGCCCGATAAACTGTTCTCAGGACCCACATGGTAGAAAGGAAAGAACAGATACCCATGAGTGGTGTCCAGACCTCTGACCTTCACAAGTATGCTGTGGACACACACACACACACACACACACACACACACTACATAAATAAATGTAGAAAAAGTGTGTTTGTATTTGTATGTGTGTAGCATATGTATCTGATAGTGTAAGTGTGTGTGTGTGTGTGTGTGTGTGTGTGTGTGTGTGTGTGTGCATGTGGTGCATGTGCATATGCTTACCCATGCATGTGAAGACCAAAAGTCAGCATCAGGTGTCTTCCTCAATCATCCATCTTGTTTTTTAAGACAGGATCTCTCTTTGAACCTAGAGCCACAATTTGGTTAGACCGGCTGTCCAGTGAGCCTGAGGAATCTGTCTCTCTGTCTCTTGCCAATGTTGGGATTACACACACACACACACACACACACACACACACACACACACACACACACAGTGTCTAACTTGCAAATGGATGCAGGGGATCTTAACAACTCAGGTCTTCAGGCTTGTGCAGCAAACACATTACTGACTGAGCCTTCTTCCCAGCTTTGAATAAAAATGAATGTTAATCAATCATTATAAAGGAAAATATGAATAATCTTTCTGTTGCTCCATAGAAAATTATGTTTTCAAAATTGACAACATATGAGGAGGCAATCAAAGCATATGCAGACAAACAGGTAAAGAAACAGAAATGTTACATTTTTTCTGGATTTTGTGGTTGATGGATTTGACAATTTAAAAAATATGTAATTAGTTTTGATGTACTTATTTGTTATTTTTATTATGGTAAGAACATCTTAACATGAGCTCTTTCCTCTTGACAAATTTGCAAATGTCCAATGCAACATTGTAATTAGACACAAAGAAGCCAGGGGTTAACTTGTGTCACTGAAATTTTGTATCTGTTGGATGAATTGGATGGCAAGAACACCCAAAACTTGCAGTTTGAAGTCTTGGTCACAGAGTATTACTACTGGGAGGAAGTGGGACCTTTAAGAGGTAGAGCCTGACAGGAGGTCTTCCAATTAGTAAGGTATATTCTTCAGGAGATTGTGGGACTCCAGTCAAGTGGTCTTAACTGCTGAGCCATCTCTTCAGCCCAACAGGTTTTTTTTTTTTTTGTTTTGTTTTGTTTTGTTTTTTTGAAAGAGGGTTTCTTTGTGTAGCCCTGGTTCTCTTGGAACTAGCTCTATAGACCAGGCTGGCCTTGAGCTCACAGAGATCCACCTGCCTCTGTCTTCTGAGTGCTGGGATTAAAGGCATGTACCACCATTGCCCAGCTCCTGGCATTTTTAAAAAAAGATTTATTTATTTATTATGTATATAGCATATATGACTGCAGGCCAGAAGAGGGCATCAAATCTCATTACAGATGGTTGTGAGCCACCATGTGGTTGCTGGGAATTGAACTCAGGACCTCTGGAAAAGCAGTCAGTGCTCTTCATCTCTGAGCCATCTCTCCAGCCCCCGGCATTGTTTGTAAAAGCTGAGTAATTCTAGTGTTTATATGCACACAATAGTGTCTTTATTAATTTCACTGTAGATGGACATTTATGTTATTTCTTCATCTTAGGTCTTCTGAAAGGCATTGTAATGAGCATGGAGTAAAGTCAGCTTTGGGAAGAGGGTGGAACTGTTAATGCAGAGGAGGAACTGTCATTTATGTGGCAGTACTGTTTTTAGTTTCCTTTAGAACCTCTGTCAGGTTTATCAATGTGCATTCCCACTAATGTACACAAGGGCTTCTTTCACCTGAGTGCCAATCAACATCTGTTATTAGTTTTACCTGCTTAGTAATAGGAGATACAGTTAATACTCTTAATACATTTCTGCTGTGTGCATGTGCTTAAAACAGATTACCATCAACTCCACAGATCTTTCAGTCTAGACTGGAAAAGAGGGAAGAAGAGGAGGAGGAGAGAGAATGAGACACAGAGAGATAGACAAGTTATGGTAAATTCTGTAAAGGTAATTATAGCCACGAGCCTGAGATAAAAGAATAACCATCTGGAAATAAAGTGGAAAAGATGAAAAAAGAGAATAACTTGGGGAGATGAAAAGGGTGCCAATGAAGGGTTCATAACACGCTCCCACGGTTGCATATACTAGGCGGACACTTCCGCCTAGCCAATTCCAAGTCAAGATAGCCATTTCCGGGTCAAGGCGTCTCGCGTGACCAGGATTCGTGACGTTACATGGCCACGTAAGCGCGCAACGTGACCATGTGATCTACACACAGGTGAGGAGTAGTGACGTGACCTGGCCACGCCCCCAGCCGGTTTTTAAAGTGGAGCGCCATATTCCCGGTTCTCTCTCTCTCTCCTTCTCTCATCTTGGATAATGTGGTCAGTAATACTGGAGAGGAAACTGGAGCTGATACCCAAAGAAGGAGCTGTCAGTCATGTGACCAGTGGGGAAAATATTTTCTGAAAAGTGAGTAAGTTTCATGAAGACTTGGGGCGGGACAGGGCTCCATGGGTCTGAGGAACTGAATCATGACCTTATTGGAGAGTCAGTTATCAAGGAAGGTGTCAGATCCTGGTAAGGAGATGGCTGTTCCTCTGGGTGCCCCTCAAAAACTTCTGTTGAAATGTAACTGGTATTGTGACCGTCTTAAGAGATGGGACCTTAAAGAGGTGAACAGGTCATGGGAGTGCTTCTGTATTAATGCCCTCATCCCCAGAGTGGGTTCCTGAAAGAAGGAATGAGCCTCATTTCCTCCCATGGACTCTGTGTTTGCTCCTTCAACACACAGAGAAAGCCTTACCAAATGCCAAACCCATGCTCTCGAGTTCCTAGCCTTCAGGACTATCAGAAGTGAATCTTTCTGCTCATAAATTACAGTCTGTGGTATTATCTTACAGAAACAGAAAATGGACCAGGCCACATAGTAAGGCATTTAAAGCTTCAAGTAGGGGAGAGCATTTATGTTTTGAGAAGATTCTCCCTCCTGCTGTGTGAGGAAAACGTGCCTGGGCAGCATTACCCCAGTGCAAGTCCCTAAGGACCTTCAGCAGGCGTCATCACTTATGTGACTGCTGTGTGAATGGCAGCACAGGGGTGGTTCCCTGGAAGCAACCCTTCTAGAAGGGCAGAGTGGGAAGAGATGAGCACATCAGACAGTGTTTCTGCCTGGGTTACACATTTAAAATTTTGTTATTACCTTTATTTATATTTATTTAACTCATTAATTTATTGTGTATGTATACACACACACACACACACACACACACACAGTGCATATGTGGAGATCAGAGTACAATTTGAGTCACTTCTCTCCTTCCACCATGTGATACTCAGGGATTGAACTCAAGGTCATGGTGGCAGGTGCCTTTACTTATTGAGTGAGTCATATCCCTGATCTTAGGTTATACATTTTATTCCCTGGTATAGTTTCTAAAGAACTCAGGTGTCCAGCTGTGCCTGCCATTCACTTAGTAACTCTGCACAGTAGCCAGGCTATTGTGTGTGGCTACTATCAAGAACGTCTGTTTAATGCTGGACGAGTGGGGAAGAGAGACCGAGACTAGAAAAAATGATAACAAGGGAAGGTAGGGGTGGCGGTGGTGAATTTGAGCCAAATGCGATGATGTACACGATGGCAACATCAAAGTGAAACCTGTTATTTAAATCCTAACTAGAAAGGGAACACTTGTTTTGAGATTTTGTCATAACACCCCAGGAAAGAGACATGGCCTCTTGCTCCAGGATAGTGACAGAGAGAAAAGAAAGAGGTGGTGGTGGGCGCGGGATTTTGAAGTAGAGTAGACAGACAGGTTTAACTGAAAGTGTCTAGGATGACATGAGCATGAAGAATCAAGAATCAGCCTCAGATTTCTGGAGAGACACTATATGATCAGTGTTTCACAAACTCTAACATGTTTCAGAATCATCCAGGGAATTTGGTAAAATGCTCTGTTGGGGCCCCACCCAAGGTGTCCCTGACACCTGCACATTGTAGCCCTGGAAATCTGCCTGGGGCTGCTGTTGCTCTGGAGACAGCTTGCTGCTGTAAAAGTCACCAAGCTACTGCTTGGAATCCTAGAGGTCTCCACAAACTCCTGATGAGGCCCCAGGCAGAGAAGTTAAATGACAGTCTTGAGGTGTGGTCCAGGAACCTGAACTGGGATCTTGTTTCATATCTTCCCACATCTGGCCAATCCTCATCTTCTGAGTTGATTGGTCTGGAGTAGGGTCTGGACAGTAATGTATTAGAAAATTTCCCAGGGCTTTTCCCAATCACATGTCAATAGCTTTGGGAGCCATGAAACAAGATACCATGTACTAAGATGGGTACAAGAGTCTTTTAAGTGGGTTTCAGAAGACCTACTTCAGAGGAGTTTGCTGGCACACTGCTTTGGCACATGAGGCTTTTATAACATATAGAAAGCTCTCAATGATCTAGCCACCAGCTCCAAACCACAGGTTTGTATATGCAGGCAATGGGAAAGGGCAGGATAGATATTATGTATATGCATATGTATATATACACATATTTAACATATATATAATGCTCCCTCTGGCATCAGTAGAGCCTAGCATAATGCCTAACCAGCACTAGATATATATTTGTTAACTAAATAAACTATATTGGTTTATGAAAGCATCAGAAGCTTGGAACTTTACTATTCTACTTGTAAAAAACAATTGCCAGTTCTACCCATCTATGATACCTGTGTACCATAATGATGAGCATGTCAAGATAACCCTAAGGATGCACTGGTGGCATGCATCCCTTGGACCAACAGCTCTCTAATTGGACTTAAGACCCACTCAACAAGAAGGTCTTGCCTGGTATTGGAAACATAGCCAACTACCCAGGGCCAGTGAAGTCATGGATCTTGGAGGAGAACCTACAACCACTTCTTACTAAGCCAGCATAATCCCTAACAACAATCTAAACATTTGTCTTTATATTCACAGATAAGTGTAGTCTTCACCCCTCATCAAGGAAAGTCTTTTTTTCCCCAACAGATGGAGACACCTACAGAAACCCACAACCAATCAAAATGTAGAGTTGTGGATCTCAGTCCCAATAGATACATCTATAAATTAAGTCCTGTCCCCACTATCCAGAGAATACTGCAGAAGAGGGATGGAAAGATTTTAAGAGCCAGAGGATCAGACTGTGAGATTGTGTCTCCTAGTAATGCCAGAAGCTACACTCATAAAGTCTCACCAACGTGACTGCTTAATCATGAGCTGAATCAGGACAGCAACAATAGACATGCCCAAGTGGACAGATGAAAGTCCATGAGACCTCAGCCCTACATGAAGAACTGTAAATAACCAAGGGTTGCCAGGAGTGGGAGAAATAGTCTTCCCCAGGGAAGAGCACACCAGTTTGTTATTCAGTACCAATGCTTAGCCCCAGACACATACATTGAAGTAACATTATACAGACTGGATCCATTCTCAAGTAAGACCGAGTTTTGATTCCCCAGTTTCCAAGCCTTGAGATGTTGTAGGCAAGTCTCTTCACAAAGAGGATGTTCTGGTAGCATTTCAGTGGAAGAGGTCAGGCTCCACATGTCATATTCACCATCAAAATCTTTTAATGACATAGCCATGAGTCCACAGCCAACATGCAGGAAATGTCATTATTATTATTATTTTATTATTTGTAAGTTCCACACTGAATCCTCAACTGGGACAGCTGGTAATCACTCTGTATTATCTGTATGTGTGTGTGTGTGCATGCATGCATATGCCCGTGATTTTGCTCTCTTAGTTTACAGTAGTGGAAAGAAATATTTGGAAATGTACCTTTTCATCTTGCTTTAATTTCTTTTAAGTAATAAATCACATAGTACCTAGAACTGTGGAAGCTCAGGTGTCATTGTATGTCTAGGGATGAACAGTTTCACTGGGGCCGAACGTCTAGTGTGCCAGTGGTCCAGCCCTCTGGGCTCGCTACAGTCATTCTCCATAGCTCTGATAGTTTTGTTGGGCTGTGTATTAACAACTGTGTTAACCCTACCACTGAAATCCTATTTTTCCCCTTTCTGGTGGAATCTTATCTTTGAGCACCTGCCAATCTCCCATCATCCTCCAGGAAGCTTAGCATCACTATCAGCATTGCAAATACTTTGAAGAAAGAGAAAATAAAGGCTTGGTTGCAGAGAGAGAGAGAGAGAGAGAGAGAGAGAGAGAGAGAGAGAGAGAGAGAGAGAGAGAGAATATCAAATTTAAGAGAACAAAAGTACACTTATTGTTGTAATCTCTCAACATGTTAAAATCTCAAAATGTTCCCCTGCTACAAGTGTGAGTTGGTGTAGAATCTATTTCTATCATCAAATCATTCTAAAAGCTAATGTGGTAGAACCGCCCAGGGCTTCTGTGGCTGTCAAGGGGGACAATGCCTGAATCTCCTTGACTGTGCGAGTAATAAGATCTCTGTTGTTTAAGATTTCTTAGAAACCCACCAGCCATAACCCTTTCCAGGCGAAATGTTCCAGAACCTTCCATTAGCATTAAATTGGCATTTCACCAAAGCATCTCTTGCCCACCAGAAGTGTTCCTAGGCAAAGAAAATACAATCTAATTCTGTTTGCAAAATAGGCTAGATTGTGGGAAGGAATTTTTCCAGAGGAAAGATTTAGACCAGTTTGGTAATTATTAGTAAAGCTAGCTCCCCTGAACATTCGCTGGGTGTCCCCTCGGTGTCAGGAGCTCAAAAGTCCAAGTGAAACTGAGCTTCTCTTTATGTAATGGGGGAAATAGCAACAAACTCTGATAATGTGAGGTGATAAAATATGGATCAAAGGCCCTGGGAGCTTGGCAGAAGAGCCAACAGAAAATTCATAGAGGGAATGACATTAGTTTGGGTTTTGAAGGACACATAAATATTTTCCAGGTGAGGGTGAGAAAGGCAGAGATAGAGCAAGGCTCAAGGGCATGTGTGCACACCAGGGTGAGCCCTGGGAAGTGAGCAGAACTGGTCGGAATTGAATTTGGAAGAGGCTAGGAACGCAATGAAGTTCTCTAAGGCTAGCCTAATCTCATGACTAATGTACAACCCTTCTTCAGTTCCTCAAACCCTCCTGCCATTTCTGACATCCAGCATAACGATTATTTGGTGTGCTCCTACTGTGCCCAGAGCTGAGCTCCTTGGAAAGATTTTCTCATTTGTTCCTCACAGTAGTCCTCTGGATAAATTCTACTGTGGTCATCACTTTATGGAGGCCATTTTCCCTCTTCCCTTGCCTCTGTTTTTGCTAATATTTCAGGTGCTTGCACAGTCCATGAATCCTTGTACAACTGGTTTACTTCTATGGAATCACATAGTTGTCCTTTTTCTTCTTTCTTTTAGAAGTTGAAAGACAATCTGATGTGACCTGGCATGGTGTCTACACTGTCATGTTACAGGACATTTTGACCTCAGTATGTTGACCCTTCCTTTTTGACTTTGAGAACAATTTCTCCTGCTCTTT